AAAACGCTGCCTTTCTTAAGGACCTTCTTTAAAAGTAAATCCTAATATAAGTTGGTGCAACCAATTTCCTTCCCTTACAGACGCTGAAAGCAGAGCACTGAAGGGGTGGGATTCTTGAAGGTGAGGGAGGTAAGGCTACTGATGATTCTGGAAGGGACAGCTCCACTGCGAGGGGCTTAGGGGAAGGAGGGTGTCAGCTCTAGTTGCTTGGTGAGTTTACCCTATTTCAACTGACGACTTTTGTTAATGAATTTCACCTCTAGGGCTCAGTGGTTTATCTGAAAGAAAAGGCTGGACTAGAGCAGTGGTTATCAAAGTGGTCCCCAGACCAGCAACATCAGCATCACCTGGAACCTCGTTGGAGATGAAAACTATAGGCCAGTCCTAGATCTACTGAATCAGAAACTCAGCGGAGAGCCCAGGAATGTCTTTCAACAGCCCTCCAGGTGTTTCTGATTCATGCTCTAGTTTAGTGACAAACGACTAAATGATCTGGCGAGTCCCTTGCAGAGAAGAGAGCTGATACTTTTTAATGTGGCTCATGAGGCCATACAAGGCCCTCACTGACCCGGTCCGCGTGTAACTGTCCAGTCTCTTACGGCAACAGTCTATCTCATCGACATAAGACTGATAAAACTTTCTCTAAAGAGATTTCCTCTTTGAAATCCAGCCTTACATATGCTGCTCTTCCTGACATAGCCTTTTTCTTCCATTACTATCTCCTATTTGTCCTTCAAGACTTGTTTTGTGATTACCCCTTCCAGGAAGGCCACCTCACACCTCCCAAGGTCAGGTGTCTCCCTTCTGTGTTCCTGTAGCACCTTATGAATCTGTTATATCCGTTTACCACCTTTATCAAGTCATGCACCAGACTGAGTGAGGTGTGGGCAGAAACTTGTACTTCTGCACATTCAGTGTCTGACACAATGTTAGCCACTACAGTATGTCCTCAGTAATCATCAATGCATGAGTAAATGAATGGATGACTTGAATCCTTTTGTCAACGGAGGGCTCAGATAATGGCTTGCTGGTTCTTTTTGATCTCTAATCATTGATAATTTAATGCTTTTCATGTTACGCCAATGATTGATCAATGCTTATTACTGTTAGTAATTCTTTTTTTTTTTTTTTTTTGGAGATGGAGTTTCACTCTTGTCGCCCAGACTGGAGTATGATGGCCTGATCTCGGCTCACTGCAACCTCCACCTCCCGGGTTCAAGCAATTCTCCTGCCTCAGCCTCCCAAGTAGCTGGGATTACAGGCATCCACCACCATGCTCAGCTAAATTTTTATATTTTTAGTAGAGATGGGGTTTCACCGTGTTGGCCAGGCTGGTTTCGAACTCCTGACCTCAAATGATCCACCCACCTCAATCTCCCAAAGTGCTGGGATTAGTCACTATGCCCAGCGCATGTTAGTAATTCTTTATAGTACATTACATAATACAAATTATTTCATATCTATTAGCCCATTTCAGCTTCTCATCAACCTCATGAGTTAGAGTAGGTATTGTTTTAATCATTTTAACAGCTGCAAAACAACTCACAGATATTAAATGGCTTTCCATGGTTACCTATTTCTGTAAAAAATATTTACACAGAGTACAAATAAAACACAAAGTGTCTTCTTGGCAACGCATAGTGATAGACACATAGGAGATAAAAAAGTTCTTAAAGACATTATCCCTATCCTCAAGGAACCTCTATTTTAGGAAAAATAAATCATATTCTCCAAATAGCCACAATATAATAAGTGTATAATAAATCCAGTCTTGAGTGAGTCATTCCATCAAGGATCTAGGAGTTTGGTGGACAGAGGAACCGTGGGTGGCAGAGTAGTGAGGGGAAACATGACTGGGGCAGAGGTGGAAATTGCATGATGACTGGACAGAAAAGGATGTGAATAGATATAAGAAAGCCTCCCAGGAGCAGAGAACAGACTAATAAATGAACAGAGACTGGAACAATCTACACAGGGGCAGTGAATAGGTCTAATAGCTGTAGCAGATAGCAGAGATGCTGTGAAGGGGACCTGTGAAAGTCAAAAATAGAACTGGTGGTGGCACTACATATGCCACTGAAAGTGGGCTTGCTGAGAGGATTTTTCCCACTTTTATTTTGCTATTAGTGGCCACTCTTGAAATTACAACATACATCGTTGATTTATTAAACATTAATGTTAACTCTTAACTTTTCCATCCTCCCAGACAATGCAAGGACCTTAGAACACTTTAACTCCATTACCCACCTCCTGACTTGCTATTGTTATCATGGATCTTGAGTATTTTAAACCCCTCTAGTCATTATTTTCATTTTGCATAATCAGTATTCATTTATATTTACCTGTGTTGTTTCCATTTTTCATTCCTCTTCAATTTTTCCTTCATCTCCAAGCTTTCATCTGGAATCATTTTCTCTTTACCCAAAGAATATCTGTCAGAATTTCCTTTAGTGCAGGTCTCTTGGTGGCAGCATCTTTCAGTTTTTATTTCACTGACTTTTAAAATCATCATTACTGGAGAATATTTTTACTATGTGTAGAATTCTAGATTGGCCAAATTGAAAATATCGTTCTACTATATACTTATATGAGTTATCATTTTTGAGAAGTCTGCTGTCATTCTTTTCGCTCTCAGAGATGAGGGTCTCACTGTGTTGCCCAGGTTAGAGTGCCATGGCTAGTCACAGGTGCAATCATAGCTCACTGCAGCCTCGAACTCCTGGCCTCAAGCAATCCTCCCACCCGCCTCAGCCTCTTGAGTAGCTAGAACTACAGGCAGGCACCACTGTACCTGGTTTACCACCATTCTAACTGTTGCTTCTGTCTATTGTCACTTTGCTTTTAAAATTTTTCTCTTAGATTTTGGTCTTCTGAAATTGGACTATGATATGTCTAGGTATGAGTACATTTTATTTATGTTGCTTGGGATTCATAGGACTTTTATCTGTTTGGGAGAATTCTCAAACATTATCTTTTCAAATGTTCTCTCTCTTCTCTCCTTTGGGGACCCCATTTGAATATGCACACATTTAGTATATATTCTGATCAAACTGCATATGTCTCTGACTCTTCTGAATTTTTCATACTTTTTCCTGAGCTAAGTCTGGATAGTTGCTTTTGACCTTTCTCCTAGTTATTTCATTAACTGTATTTATTTGCTGCTAAATACATCATTGAGATGTTGATTTTGATTATTATATTTTTAATTAGAGTGTTTCTGGAGGTTCTCTATCAAATGTGGACAATTACTTTTTATAACTTCCAATTTCCAATTCTTGTCAACAAATTTCAAGTTTGGCCTTTCCTTTTTTTTGTTTTTTGTTTGTTTGTTTGTTTGTTTTGTTTTGTTTTTGTTTTTTGAGACAGAGTCTCGCTATGTTGCCCAGGCTGCAGTGCAATGGCACAATCTCGCATCACTGCAACCTTTGCCTCCCGGGTTCAAGCGGTTCTCCTGCCTCAGCTTCCTGAGTAACCGGGATTACAGGCACCTGCCACCACACCTGGCTAATTTTTGTATTTTTAGTAGAGACAGGGGTTTCACCATACTGACCAGGTTGGTCTCGAACTCCCGACCTCAGGTGATCCGCCCACCTCAGCCTCCTAAAGTGCTGGGATTACAGGTGTGAGCCACCACACTCGGCCAGGCCTTGTTTTCTTGAGTATATTATAATGTTGCTTTAGATTCTGTGCATGGTAATCCCACTGTCAAGAACGACCATGAATATCTTTCTGTTACTTCTTGTTTGTGCTGATCTTTGAATGTTGTCTTCATTACTTATTTGCTTGGTCATTTATTACTATGTGTTGAACATTATGTTTGAAAAAGTATCTTTAGAAATAATGTGAGACTTAGGATGATATCTTCTGGACATGATTTTTGATTTTCAGTTTCTATGCAAGGCATTTAGGGGCACTAGTAATCCAACCAAGATTGCTTCAATTCAAAGTCAAAGCTTCAAATTTTTTGAGCTACTCAGATGACTAAGGCTAGAATCTATGTGAAGTTTAATTCCAGTTTACCTTAGTCTGACAGTGCAGCTCTTTGGGGCCCCAACTCTGAGTACCAAGTAGTTTACCAGGGTCTCCACCATGGAAAAGAAAGGAAGCAGTAGATTCGAACTTATGGGCACCTAGCCACCAACAGTTTTCAAAAACATGGCTCATCTCTCAGCCTTCTTTTTAGATGAGCCAATGCCCTCTGGGCAAAAGTAGCCCTAAATGCCAAGCTTGTCCCTCTAGAGCTTCATCTTCTCCTAGATCTTGGCTTGCTTCCTCACTATCCTATTAGTTTTTGATATTTTAGGGAAAATTTTTTAAATGTTTTCTCTGAATTTGTTAGTTGTTTTCAGAGGGAAGGTTGGCCCATATTAGCTAGTCTGCCTCTATTAGAAGCAGAAGTCTGATATGGACTTTGGATAGAAATGAGAATCAGCAATTTTTAAGAATAGAGGGACATGGCCGGGCACAGTGGCTTACACCTGTCATCCCAGCACTTTGGGAGGCCGAGGCAGGCAGATCACGAGTTCAGGAGATCAAGACCATCCTGGCTAACGTGGTGAAACCATGTCTCTACTAAAAATACAACAACAACAACAAAATTAGCGGGGCGTCGTGGCAGGTGCCTATAGTCCCAGCTACTCGGGAGGCTGAGGCAGGAGAATGGTGTGAACCCGGAAGGCAGAGCTTGCAGTGAGCTCAGATCACACCACTGCACTCCAGCTTGGGTGACAGAGGGAGACTCTGCCTCAAAAGAGAAAAAAAAAAAGAATAGAGGGACATAAGCAGATAAATGAATCAGAAAGTGGTGTGTATGATAATTTGAGGGGGCTGTTGCAGGGGTCAGTAGAGAGATAAGAACAGAATAAGATTCTTTTTATTGGTTCCCTGGCTTCAGCCAGCATAAATGATCAAATAATTTATTGCGCTAATGCTCAAATTGGTACTTCTAATCCCAGTTAAACCCACGGAATTTCAAAAACAGGCAGTGTTGTTTAACTTACTTAGTTGTTTCCTTGTTGGGAGGCCTTTGATTCCAACTGCAAACTCTGCCAAGAGAAAAGAGAAACCTAAACCACAGATGGATTAACCCCTACTCTAGGAGCACTGAACCATTGTCCCTGCTCTCAGAGAACTGCCTGGAGCCATGCCGGGGCAGTGGCTGAATTCAGAGAATCAAGGCTGCACTGCTGAGACAAACACCAGTCAAGGTGCATTGCCCTCTGCTGTGGTCAGGGCTATAGGTGCTGGAGCTTGTGAATAGGGATGACGGCAGACCCTGCTGATTGGGCAGCATAGTACCCATCCTCTACCTCCTTTACCTTTACTTCTTTCCATTAGAGAGGCTGCAGTAGCTAAATATTCACTCTCCCAATATCCCTGTATCATAGAGTGGTCATGTGATACAGTTCTGGCCAATGAGATGTAATCAGAAGTTTGGCAGGAAAGTTCTGGGAAAGTTTTAGCTTTGCTAATAAGAGACAGATGGGGCTGGCACTAATCCTGGTATTGATCCTAGACTTGAATGCAGATGTGACACTTAGAGTTAAAGCAGCCTTTTCATGACCATGAGGAGACATGCAGGAGGGAAAGGCCCAGAAAATCTCAAAGACACCAGCCCTAACATTGCTTTTCTCTTATGTGAGAAAAAGAAACCACTCTTGTTTCAAGCTACTGTGGGTAGGCTTTCTATAATTTGCAAATAAAAACACTCCTAACTGACGCAGAGAGATTCCTAATGTCAGGACCCAGCACCTGAAAATCATCTTTGGCTTTAGGATTAAAAACTTGATCAAACAGCAAATATTAACCAAACTTCTTGTAAAGCCAGCACTGAGCTAGGTGGCACTATGAAAATCACCGAGGTAGCAGGCACTGAAGGCATTCACAGCCTAATTAAGAGGTAGAATTTAATACAAATGAAATCTCATGATCATGATCAAATGCTAGAAAAGTCTTTAAGATTATCTAGTGGTTTTGGACAGGTGTTGGCCATGATACCATCCCAACACCATACAGAGACTCAATGTGTACAACATAAAATCTGCTTCATTTTAAGAAACCTGTGCAATTGGCCCCTCCATATCTTTGATGATTTGTGGCTGAAAATTTCTGAGTAGCACTGCCATTGATTTGACAGCTGAGAAAACTGGGGTCTCCATGGCAGAATGGAAGTAACTTATTCTAGGAGATGTAACAGGTTTGCCATGGTGCTGAATGAAATCTACATCTCTAGGACGATTTTCAAGGTTGTTTCCTTCCAAACAGTGATCAAAAGAAGGGAGTGGATTATTACGTGGTAAACTGGAAAGCAGCAGCAATAATTGGTACAGGAGACCAAAGAAAGGAGAAATTAGCATGACCAGAATTAACCAAAGCAAGCTTCATGGAAGAGGTGGGACTTAAATGAAGTCATGATGGTTGGATAAACTCAAATTGGATCAGTGGTTCCATTGGCCCCCAGGGGACATTTGGCAATGTCTAGAAACGTTTTTGGATGTCACAACCTGGGATGGGGGGTAGCATTTAGTGGGCAGAAGCCAGTGATGCTGCTTAAAGTCCTACAATGTGCAGAAAAGTTCCCCACAACAAAGCATTATCCAGCCCAAAATGTCCCAATGGTGTCCAAGTTGAGAAACCCTGGAATACATGGAAAGAAGGCCAGGCAGAGGGAATGGTATACAAATGCAGAGGTGTACATAAGCAATGAGTTCCTTGAGAACAGAGACTGTGTATCCCAACACACATCAGTGGCTGCCTGGTGGGTAGTTATTTGCTGGATGGATGAATAAACACTGTTCGTCTTTGAATTCTACCCTAGTACTTTGGCAGCAAAGAACTTTGCTCAGAATAAGAAAAGCAGTCAGCCTCATCAATACTTATTTTCCTGATTTCCCCTGCCTCATCTGTTCCTCATCCCAAGTCTTTAAGAAAGGAAGGGAGTTGGAGACTGGAGCTGTTCAATCCAACTTACAAGGGATGTAAAGGACCTCTTCAAGGAGAACTACAAACCACTGCTCAGTGAAATAAAAGAGGACACAAACAAATGGAAGAACATACCATGCTCATGGATAGGAAGAATCAATATCGTGAAAATGGCCATACTGCCCAAGGTAATTTATAGATTCAATGCCATCCCCATCAAGCTACCAATGAGTTTCTTCACAGAATTGGAAAAAACTGCTTTAAAGTTCATATGGAACCAAAAAAGAGCCCGCATCTCCAAGACAATCCTAAGTCAAAAGAACGAAGCTGGAGGCATCACGCTACCTGACTTCAAACTATACTACAAGGCTACAGTAACCAAAACAGCATGGTACTGGTACCAAAACAGAGATATAGACCAATGGAACAGAACAGAGTCCTCAGAAATAATAGCACACATCTACAGCCATCTGATCTTTGACAAACCTGACAAAAACAAGAAATGGGGAAAGGATTCCCTATTTAATAAATGGTGCTGGGAAAATTGGCTAGCCATAAGTAGAAAGCTGAAACTGGATCCTTTCCTTACTCCTTATACGAAAATTAATTCAAGATGGATTAGAGACTTAAATGTTAGACCTAATACCATAAAAATCCTAGAGGAAAACCTAGGAAGTACCATTCAGGACATAGGCATGGGCAAAGACTTCATGTCTAAAACACCAAAAGCAACAGCAGCAAAAGCCAAAATTGACAAATGGGATCTAATTAAACTAAAGAGCTTCTGCACAGCAAAAGAAACTACCATCAGAGTGAACAGGCAACCTACAGAATGGGAAAAAATTTTTGCAATCTACTCATCTGACAAAGGGCTAATATCCAGAACCTACAAAGAACTCAAACAAATTTACAAGAAAAAAACAAACAACCCCATCAAAAAGTGGGCAAAGGATATGAACAGACATTTCTCAAAAGAAGACATTCATACAGCCAACAGACACATGAAAAAATGTTCATCATCACTGGCCATCAGAGAAATGCAAATCAAAACCACAATGAGATACCATCTCACACCAGTTAGAATGGCGATCATTAAAAAGTCAGGAAACAACAGGTGCTGGAGAGGATGTGGAGAAATAGGAACACTTTTACACTGTTGGTGGGATTGTAAACTAGTTCAACCATTATGGAAAACAGTATGGCGATTCCTCAAGGATCTAGAACTAGATGTACCATATGACCCAGCCATCCCATTACTGGGTATATACCCAAAGGATTATAAATTATGTTGCTATAAAGACACATGCACACGTATGTTTATTGCAGCACTATTCACAATAGCAAAGACTTGGAATCAACCCAAATGTCCATCAGTGACAGATTGGATTAAGAAAATGTGGCACATATACACCATGGAATACTATGCAGCCATAAAAAAGGATGAGTTTCTGTCCTTTGTAGGGACATGGATGCAGCTGGAAACCATCATTCTTAGCAAACTATCACAAGAACAGAAAACCAAACACCACATGTTCTCACTCATAGGTGGGAACTGAACAATGAGATCACTTGGACTCAGGAAGGGGAACATCACACACCAGGGCCTATCATGGGGTGGGGGGAGGGGGGAGGGATTGCATTGGGAGTTATACCTGATGTAAATGACGAGTTGATGGGTGCAGCACACCAACATGGCACAAGTATACATATGTAACAAACCTGCACGTTATGCACATGTACCCTACAACTTAAAGTATAATAATAATAAATAAATTAAAAAAAAAAAAAAAAAAAAAGAAAGGAAGGGAGTACCTCTTATTCATCCTTCTAAATTCATTTACATTCTTACACCCAGGTTTCTCTCAATACTCACCAAACCCCTTTGCTACGTGGGTCTCAGGAGCAAGAGAAGGTACCAGCCCTCACCCTTACTGAGCAGGCAGATGACAGGTGCCAGGGAACTGTATGTTCTTTTGTACTCATAACAGCTTTAGGGGACTTCCAGCCTCATAGCCCAACCTCCCAGCTCCCACACTTGTAAGTGGAGGAAGGGAGGGAGAGTGGGGTTTGTGGTCCTCCTGGTGCCAGTATGTTTCCAAGACGAAACTTAAGGCCCCACCCTCTTCTGGGGGGCTCTTTCAGGTAAATAATAGGTGCCCTGTGGGCCCAGATCCACTGAAGGTTGTTAATGCATATCCTGGTAGGAGATGGTTCCTTGAAATCTAATTGCTTCCAAGACCTTAATACCATCCATTTTATTGTGTACAAAGAATGCTCAGGACAGCAAATGTGAACATGGGCAAGCCCGTACCTCAAGGCATCTGGCTCAGTAAACAGTGTGTTCAGGAGACAGCAAAGGATTAAACAACCACCAGGGCATCCATAGGCAGGACTCTCTGTCTGTGCCCTGCTGCACCCCAATTCCTTATGATCCCCACTCCTACTCCTCACTCAGCCCTGTTCCTTTACCTCTTATCCAAATACTTCTGTAAGATGTCCTATCAGTCACTGACCCCTCAGTCTAGTACAGCTCCAAGGGGACTATATTGTCCTATCTCTGGTTGTAGAGAAAAAGTTCATCCTTCCTAAAATGAGTTTTAGGCTCTGGGTCACAGGAGAGGTTGGGACTTTGTTTAGTGCTTATGACAATGCTTACTTGAGGGAATTCTTCCCTGGATTCCTGAGATTCCTGAGTATTACTGCCTTCTTCATGGAAGCGGAACCCTGACTCTTTCAGATCGTCTTACTCCCATTCCTCAGATCCGAGCAGTATCAGATCTGAGAGGCTAAATACCTTGTTCTGGGTCAAGGAACTAAGTGCCCAAAACAGTAGTTCAATCCAGACCTGCTCCCCCCCCAGAGACTGAGACTGTAATACTCCTAAACTAGAAGAATGGGAAGCAGCACCAAAGGGCACAAAAGTGTGCCCATGTATGAAAATCTATTAACCTGAAAAGGCTGTTATTTCAGTGAGGGTACGAGTAAAAACAGATATGCACTCATGCTAGAAATGCACACACAAACACATCCACAGCCAGATCAAAAGCATGGGATTCTCCCTTAACAGACCTCCTAAAGTAAATGAAGATGCATCAAGCTGGCAGATAGAGATGGGAAAGGGGCC